TTCCAAGTCACTTCATTAGGTTGTGAGGACTAAAAGAGATGGTGCGCACAGAGGACTTCCCACAGTGCCCAGTTTATAACAACCACACAAAAAATGTTAGTGATTAGAACACTAGAATTTCAGAAGAGTGTTTCCATGTTTCCTTAGGGACTATTTGAACATAAATTTGGTATAGATAGAAATATTTCTTAAAGGGAGGTTCCTTCCTGCATATTATATATTCATTCATTTTTATTTATATTCAAATATTTATTGAGCACCTACTATTTGCTGGGCACTATTCTAAGTGCTTGGGATGATGACTGAACAAAACAGGCAACGATCCCTGTTTCACGGAGCTTAAGTTCTAGTGGGGGGAGCCTTATAGAAAGTGAAAAGTACTATAGAAAGAATGGAGCAGGGGAAGGGGGCAGGGCAGTGCCAGGAGTGGGTCAGGTTGGAATCTAGATAGGATGGTCAGGGCGGATCTCATGGAGTAGGAAACACTGGAGTAAAGAGTTGAAGGAGGTGAGGGAGTAAGCCATATGCAGTTATATGGGAGACAGCACTTCAGGCAGAGGAAGCAACGGTGCGAAGACCTTGAGGTGGGATCATCTCTGACACGTTCAAGGACAAACAAGACAACAGTGTAACTAGAGTGCTGTGAGAGAGGGGAAGAGTAGAAGGGAAAAAGGGAGAGAGATGACAGGACTAGATAACGAAGGTCACTGGCATCACTTTAATAAGATAGGAGGCCATCACAAGGCAAAGAGCAGAGGGATGACATGATTTGGCTTCTATGTTAAAAGGAGCACTCTGGCTACAGTGTGACTAGATAGTAGGAGGGAAGGGTAGAAACAGGGAGACCAATCAGAGGGTATGTAGGAATCCAGACAAGAGACGAAAGTAGCTCATACCAGAACACAATACTGGAGGTGGTGAGAATGGTCAGATTTTGCTTTTATGCTGAAAAGCACTATTTGTTGATACATAGGATGTGGGGAGTGAGGAAAAGAGAGGTGAAGGAAGATGCTAAGATTTTTGACCTGAGCAACCTGAAGGACTGTATTGCCATCAACTGAGATGGGGAGGGCTGTGAGTAGAGCAAGTTTTGGGTGAGAGGAAATGACGACTAGACATTGAAGGGGAATTTTCTACACGAGTTTAGAGTTTGAAAGAGACAGAGAGAGGTCCTGGGTATAGATATACATTTGGGAGTTGGCAGCATATAGACGGTATTCAGCGTTGTGTGACCTGATGATATCACCAAGAGTGAACACAAGACTTTGAACAAACTATTGTTTGTTTCCTTCTACGTTTGTGAAGGTAGAAGGAAAAGAGAGCGGGACCAGTGGTGGCCCCCACCAGGATTAAGACACCAGGGAGACAAGTGAAACCAGCAAAAGAGACCGAGAAGGCACAATGAAGAGAATGTGTTCCTTGGAAACCAAGCAGCTGTGTCGTCCTCCATGGCACCAGAGTCTGCACTTAACTCTGGGGATGTCCTCTATGTGATGACAGTGAGCCCCTTCGGGTTACACCTGCTGTAGCCCTCCCAGTTTCCCCTGACTCTTCCTCTCTGGCAAAACATCTTTTGCTTTTCTGCATAGACTTCCATAAAGGATATAAATGGATTTTCATAATTAAAAAATAATAAAGGAAATAAAAATCATGAAATACACCTCAGGATAGCAATGATAATTTTTTAAAAGTATGCCTATAACTCATTCACATAATCTACATAAAATATACACATCACATGCAAATGCCCTTGCAGTCACTGGTTCTCAGGAAGCTTCCTGTTGATGCCATAGCAACAGTGAATTTTATACCAACCCAGCAAGCTGTACAAAGGCAATCCAAACGGCACTCTGAATAGTCATAACTCTGGTCATACATTTTGGACAGTGGGGGCAACCTCTGAGTATTAGTCCCTTTCTTGTCCCATGAATATCTACTGGAAGAGCCTTAGTCACTAGTGTAAGCTGTTTTTGAACTCAGGGTCTATCTTACTTCCCCTGGCATTTTTCTCAATACCCAGAACACTGTCTGGCTCATGGGAGATACTCTATAATATAAAGTTTGCTCAGGGAATGAATGAACAGTGTCTGCTGCACTGATGAATGACTCGAACCAAATAGACTTTCTTGGTCAGAAACTTGAAACACAGGCAAGCATAGCATTTATACTTAGAAGTTGACTTTTTTGTTGAATTTATGGCATAGTTTTTGATTGGATCATTTATATTTCTTTTTTTTCCCCTGTAACGTAAAAAAACTCAAAAGTGTAGACTTTCTACCCCAGGACAGGGAAGACACCTTCCACCTTATTTGAACCACATATATTTCCAAAAAGAATAGTGGGCAGAAAGAGAGTAGATTCAGCTTTTTAATCAGCTGTACTGTTGAGGACAGATGCTATTCTATTTTTCATCTCTCTCCCTCTCTCTCTTTTGCTATCATTTCAGGAACTATGCTTTTCTATATTCTCAAAGTAAAAAAAACATCACTGACAGAAGGCAAGCAAACCAATGTCATCACTGAGTATACCACACAAGTGCATATGAGAAGCTGTATCACCGGCCAAAGGGGCATAAAATAGAGTTATTCTGCAAACCAATCAAAAGGATCATTTCCATGAACAGCCGCCTTAGTAGATGCATAATCAACAGTCCACCTAGGGCCTCTTTCCATGGGAGAAGCCGGGGAGATTAAGATTCATTTTGTCAGCGTGTTCTAGTTTTTCATATGATTCTTTGCTGTCTCCAGAATTTTTTTTCAGCACTCAAACAGACAGCTATAAAATTGATTGGCTTGAAAGCCAAATAAAATAAAACACAGTAGCCTACTTTATCATTTACTACTAGCTATTTATTATGAGCAGTGCTGTGTTGGGATATCGACCCTGAGATTAAAGCTAGAGAAAGAGAGATTCTGAGATTCTGTGGACACATAAAGCTCCCCAGCCATGGTGACAGATGATAATGAGATTATACTCAGAGGCCACCTTTTATCTCAATGGGCCCAACAGCTATCATTTTTTAAAAATAATGAATTGTACAAACAATGCAGGGAACATTTGCTTAGCAGTTCTGCAGTGCAGCTTCCTTGGGCCCCAGTACATTGGCAGGCTGTCCAGCTATCTGGCCACTGAGGACAGACGCTCCCCCAACTCCTTTATTTGCTGCGGTTGCATCATTTGTTCTTTTACTTACTTCAACCCACCTGGCCACAGGAGGAGTCCTTCTCCCTGAATAATCCCTGTATTCATCATGTTCTTTCTTGCCTCCAGGCCTTTTTTCTGAGTATTCCTCCAGCTGAGAAGCCCTCTCACACATCCAAAATCAAAACCCACTTCCTCCTTGAACACACCACTTTAGTCTCCTATCTTTCACGGAATCTTGAGCAAAAACTTTAGAGCAAATTGGTCCACAGCCAAATCCTGGCTTTACTACTTATTAGCAGGGTTGCTGAAGGCCACTCATATCACCTGAGTTTCAGGTTCTTTACTCTAAAGGAGAGGTTAAAAATTCTTATCTCCAAGATTCTTACCTAATTCTTATCGTATGCAAGACTAAACGTGTGAGGTGCACAGCACAATTTCTAACCCTAGTAGGCACTCACTCAAGGTTAGTTTTCCCTCTTGGGTTCCTTTTCTCAGTTAAATTTCCAGTCTACACTTAGGTAATTAAACAGACACTGAATTTTTCACAGCAGGATGTCCTGGATCTCAGGCTCTTCTGTGAACCTTCCCTTAACCTTCTTGCTTTAATCCAAGCAAGCCTGGTTGCACACGGCGAGCACTTCAGATATACACCAGGGTTGGGCCCAAGCCCCAGAGATTCTGCTTTAATTGGTTGGGACAGAGCCCAGACATGACTTGACAGACAATTCCGTGCTCTGTCTATACCATGACTGCAGCCAAGCGGCTAGACAGGCTGAAGGGAAACACATGAACTTTCTGAATGGTCTTACATCTGTGCCCACTAGCCTCACTAGGTGGGCCTTGGTGTGGCGACCCTACTGAGTTCCCTCGTCCACCCACTGTCCCACTCTCCTGGACGTGACTTCTCACTTCCTCTTCTCCCCTTCAACCCTTCAAGTCCTCCTGCCTTATCATTACCCTCTACTAACGGCCCACAGCACTCACCGATAAGACAGGAGGAAAACCCTGAACACACCGCGTCGGCACATCTCCCAACTCCCTGCATGTATACCCTGCTTTCTCTCCTCTGGCTGTGAATGGAATGTCCCTGTTGCTGTGACAGACCAGATCCTCCACTTAGACCCTGGAGCTCATTCCTTCCAGCAATCATCACCACAACTCTCCTGAATCATCACTTACTCCCTCTCCTCTCTACCGGACCATTCCCACCAGTGACTACATGCTGTAATAATTCCCGTCTTAAAATAAGCCCCCCATTACTGTACATGCCCCTCCAACTACTACCCCACCTTGCGGGTCCCTTTTTAGGAAACGAAAACAATTTAAAATGAGCTAATTCTCACTTATCTCCAGTCCTTTCCTCCCAGTGTCCCTTGAAGCCCCTGCAGTCAGGCCTTCATCCCCACCACTGCACTGAAACAGCTTTGTCAAGGCCACCAAAACCTCCAAGGCCAACTCAGCAGTCAATTCTCAAGCCTCCCATTGCAGCATTTTACACAGCTGATCACTCTGGGTCTTCACTGCCTCTCGGTTCTCTTCCTACATCACTGGCTGCCCCTTCTGTCTTCTTAACAGACTCTTCTCCGACCTCAAACATTGCAAATGCCCAGGAGTCAGTTCTCAGACCTTTTATTACCTCTATCTACACTCACTGTCCATGTGGTTTAGTCCAACCCCATGGCTTTAAATGCCATTCATATACTGTGACTCCCAGATTAGCCTCTCCAGCCTGGACACAGATTTTTTTATCCAGTTGCCTTCCCGACATCTCCACCTGGTTTTGTCTCTGCGACATCAAATGTCACACTACAACTGAATTCCTGATACTCACCCACTCCCAAATCATCTGCTCTTACCGACTTCTCCATTTCAGAGAGAAGAAATTCTACTTTTGGAGGCTGTAGGTAGGTCCGCTCCTCCTGCCCCAGGCCCCCCGCGCACGGTTTAGCGGGTGGTGGCTGGGAGCTCAGCATTGGCTTTGGCCACCTGTGGCTTTGTCCGTGGACCCAAGTGCGACTCGCCACGCAGAACCGCCAATGACCTCAGCTCACTACCCACGTCGGTGCGGGAAGGTGAAAGCCAGACCCCCACACGCGCTGCTGCTCCGGGGCCCCATCGCGCGTGCGCGTGCTCTGGCCTCTGACCCCTGACCCGCGGTCTGCCCGCCGGATGCCCGGATGCCCTGATGCCCAGACTCTGAGGCCCACACCGCCCGCACCACGGGGGGAAGGGGAGCTCAGTTCTCAACGTTCAGTAAAGCTGTTAAAAAAAAAAGAAAGGAAAGAGAGAGAGAAAAAGAGAGAAAGAAGAAAGAAAGAGAAAAATTCTGCTTTTGTAGTAGTTCAAACCCAAACCCTAAAAGTCTCTTTAAGAAACATCTCTCATTACCATATCAAATCCGTCAGCAAATCCTCCATCGTACATGTTTTTCAATGTTATTAGATTAACCATGCCCTTAACTTAAAATTGCTGAACAGTATTCCATCCGTAACAATAAATACACATACAGAGTGCCCCAAAACTGTGTTAAATGCTTGACATTATTTAATCTCCATAACTAGCCCATCATAGGTGGAGTTGCCCAAAGAGGAACTAGCCCAGAGTCATGTAGCTAGCAAGTGAAAAAGCTGAGACACCTAGGCAATAGGATTCCAGAGTCCATGTGCTTGACTACAATGCTTTACATTTGTTTATCACGGTGCTTGAATAATTACATTGTTTAGAAGTTTCCAGTGTTAGAAATGTTGTTTTGACCACCTTTGTGTACAAAGCCTTTTCCTAGTTTAAAACCATTCTCAGAAGTTGTATTGCTCAAAGAGCGTAAGCATTCTTAATCCCTAAAATGGCTAACCTATTATTAATTAACATTGCCTTTTTGAAATCTGAAGTCATATACAGCTATTAGGGACTGTTTTCTGAATATAGAAGAAAATCTAAAGAACTTTAAATAGCTAAGTTTGATCCTTGATTTAGTCACTGTGTACCTTACATACTCATTCAATCTTGTGGTCTTCAGTTTCCCCATTTGTAAATTCAAGATAATCCCAACATTACAACTTCCTCACAAAGATGCATTTATCAGGTCCTAATTTCTGTCAAAAGAAGAACCTTTAGTGTTACTTTCCCCCAAGCAAACCACAAACTCTGAAGCTTAGATCTATGACTGGTCTACTCAGGAAGGGGTTGATTCATTACATCTTTTAAGACTTCGAAACACTGAGTTCTGACTTTTAAATGACTTGGCAAATCTGAGTTTTACACCTACCTCGGCTCACTCCTTAAAAAAAAAAAAAAAAGATCCCCTTCTACTCACTATTTGAACCTGAAGGAAAGATTGAATGGAGCTGTATTTGTCATGGTTGTATATCAACTGTGACACAAATATTTTATTTCTCTCTTTTTTTTTTTAAAGATTTTATTTATTTATTTGAGACAGAGAGAATGAGAGACAGAGAGCATGAGAGGGAGGAGGGTCAGAGGGAAAAGCAGACTCCTTGCTGAGCAGGGGGCCCGATGCGGGACTCGATCCCGGGACTCCAGGATCATGACCTGAGCCGAAGGCAGTCGCTTAACCAACTGAGCC